GAGGGGAACCAATCATTGGTAGAGAGGCACTTGGTGAAGTGATGAACGAGAATGGAGAACTGTTTGCAGACTCCTGTGCATTTGTTAATTTGGCGGTTGGAGACGGTGTGTACAGTCACAAGGATATTCACATGACAGCCACATGGATTTCACCAGACACCACAACACACTAAAAATCACATCGAATTCATGTGAATGTGAAGAGAGTGGAGATGCAGCCTATTGGACACAAGATGAGATGGAGAAGGGGAGGAGATGTCGGTGGTTCACACCACTCACAGTTCAGTGCAAGGAAACCAACTTCAAAATCGAGTTGGAATTGTTCAAAGAAGCTGTTGATGGTGAGTCATAGTTGCAGTTCAACACCCAGAACATAAACTGAACTGAAGGAAGAAACTACTGAGGAAATATTCACATCCGTCAGACATCATGTAGAAATGGAGATATTAGGCAACATGCATGTAGAAACCTTGGTGGAAGTACACTGAAACTCTGTGGAAGAGATGTGGAAGGAAGCCTGCATAACGGTGTTAGGAGAGAGGAGTAAGCAGCAAGAAATGGAATGTATTTCGACGGATACACGGAAGGAAGCTGATAGAGGAGTGAGAGGAAGATGGAGAATCAGAAGATGAACTGGTGCTGTGCAGTACACTGTAGTGCAGTGCAGTGTAGTGGTGAACAGCGAAATGACGAACTGAATACAACATATAAAACACTGCACTGAATAAAATAGTGAAGAAGATTGTGCACACAGACAAAAGACACACCTAAGACACACTGGCAAGTGAAGCACAACAGGGTGCAGGTAGGTGAGTTAGAGACCTGACAACATTGTATCAAATAACCAGGTTATCATCTGTGAGGAGAGAGATCCACACAAATGAAATCAATGAAGATAGTGAATGAGACTTAGTTACCGCGAAAGAGGAGAAACAAAAGAAATGCTGAGCTGACCACTTCATAATGCCCTTGAATCGATCACCACCACCACCACCAACAACAACAACAACATGAACAACAACAACTGCAACTCGTCCAGAAATATTAGCAGCAACCCAGCCACAGAATTATCAGTTATCACAATCCCTCCAACAAAAGCAGAAATGTGGTCCTCAATGCCATATGGTAGGTTACTGAAATCCTGGAAAGCAGGAGGACCAGATGGAATTCCTGCAGGAGCACTGAAAACAGACGCAGAGACAACAGCAGTGGACATGTTCACAACACCACTGCAGAGGGTTTCGAAGGAGTGAAGTAAGGAAGGTTACCTACTGACTGATTGGAAGAAAAACTACCTTGTTAACCTTCCAAAGAAGGGAGACTTATGTCTTCGCAAGAACTGGCGTGAAATTTTGCTCCTGTCCCTGTCCACCTCAGGCAACGTATTAGTTCACATCATCCTGGAGATAATGAGAAATGCTCTGGATTCAAAACTACGACGAGAACAGGCTGGTCGACTGGCTGGCTTCAGGAGGAATAAACCATGTGCGCATCAAATTGCAACACCACGCTGCACATCATCATAGAACAATCCATAGAATGGCAATCAACGCTCTACCTCAAGTTCACCGTCTTTGAAAACGCCGGAATTCGACGGAGCCGACTGAGAAGTAATTTAACAGACAGTTGCTTCAACACTACACTTTTAGCGCCGCAAATCTTCATCAACCTCATTCAACAGTTGTTGGCGGTATCATACATATATACATTCAGCATAGAGAACAAGATGCGGATTTTCAACACCAATGTCAGTCGAGTCAGTGTTTCTATGTGATGCTTGAGAGACTTGGCGCGTCACGAAAAGCATTTCCAACAAACCACTGACATTCATCAACACCTGCCACTCACGCTCACTCGATACTCACTCACACTGATGAAGATCACATCTCCAGAATCATGAGAATGAGCAACAAGAAACTCCGGATGACCGGGCAACCAACAAACCAACCGAGAACCTATCACCCAAGAAATATGCAGAATAAAGTGGAGATGGATTGGATTGTGCATACACTGAGAAGACCGATTGGGGACATCATGTGCCAGGTGAGGCCGTCGAGTGGAATGCGAAGGGGGAAGGAGGAGTTGGGGGTGTGAGGTGAGGATGACATGGAGGAGGTGACATGTGAGGAATAGATGGAAGTTTGTTTGTAGTCATGGGGGTAGGGTTAAGAGACTGTAGAGAAGGGAGTGTGATGGAGGTGTGTTACTGAATCCCTATGTTCCACTAGAAGCTCAAGGGACAAATAATTATTATTAGGCACAACTGTATGGTATGGTATCGCATCCTTATGTTAGGACTCATAGTCTGTTTATCCAACTGTGGTTTTGAAATCTAATCAATAAAACTCGCGATAAAATGCGAATCACTCATGATGTATCAATCTGCGTCTGTCTGTTTCTTCTTTTACGCTGGAACTATGTGTATTTACTCAATCAATATGACGACCACTTTACACGTTGTATATCTTCTCACAAATTATGAAGCTCAGTATTACTGAGAAAGGTTACTCTGGACAACAACAAATGTGGTGCAAAAATTTATGCTTCATCTTTTAAAAGCTTCTTGCAACATTGGACGACATCATGCAATCTTCTCAAGCATGCACATTTGTGAAATTTTCATTGGTATAGAAATAACCATAAATGACCAAGAAATGCATTAACAAATTAGTTATTCGAATTTGAAAAGCAGTTAAAGGATAATTCAGCCTGAAAGTCTATAACTTTTATAACTTTCATACTTATGTTCCTTAGTTAACAAGTAAAATCAGTATATACAGTTTATTACTAGCTAAGTTAAAAGGCGAGCCAACATAGTGACATGTCAACAACTGGTAAATCTGACCGACTTACTGAAAACTAGAATGAATATGAACTTCTTAGTGACCGACAGTTATTTATCTAGCATACTGAGAGTACAACTTGTAAGTGCGAAGTGATAAATGCTTATCTTGATTATGGATCAGACACCATATGTTAGACTAATAGTAAGTCTATCTAATGAGCCAAAAATAAAGACGAAAGTCAGCCAGGATTTTGCGAATAATGACAACTGAAACGTTCGGATTGGTTAGGTATGCATGATCATGCATGATCAAAGACTAGTCATTCGTTGATTTAATTGGTGCAGCAAAAGACGTTAAACTTTGAAGAAAATTCTTAACTACTAAATCACGATACTGATCTATCTAATACAGGTAATTTTCATGAACCTAGTTCAAAAAGTGGAATAGATTAAGCAATTACTGGTTCACACATAATTAATTTAAATTTCACCGTGATAATTTGGTTAATATTCCACTTGATAACTGGAACATAACCTGTATGATAAGTAAGTGTATATAAAATTAATTACAAGTCAAAGCTTTGATTTAGCCTTTTTATGACTTCCAAATATCGAGGTGCCTTAACCGAAATACTCAAAAGTTTTCATATCGGAATCCATTTGAAGATATACCTATATCTTCGCTCTCAGAAACTCTCTTGAAACAGGCCACTAGTTTGAAAAAATAGGTAATTTCATAAGTTCACCGAGCTTTTCATTTGTTTCTTCAGTTGTTAGAACTATTTTAGAATTTATACGGTGAATAACATATGTGCATCATTTCTGGCTTAATTATATTATTTAGTCCATCTTGAATAAATACCTCAAAATTAACAAAGAGCACTTTCTTGTTTTCAGTTTTCTATTTGGCATACATATTCTTGTGTCATTTTTCCTTTATAAGGCCTGTACACCTTGTGTATTCATTGTTGCTTGTTTTCAAGTGCATGAAATGAAAACGTTTACAGTATGAAACCTTTATAACAAAGCAGTAAGCTTTTTATGCTTAAATTCCGTAAATTGAAGAAAAAAGATGTCAGACAAACTAGAAGGGTGTATTTTAAATTATTCATGCGCATAAATAGTCTTATGCTCTGGAAAAAAGGTAAATACCACCATATCATAACAGATGTCAGTGAACAACAAGAAGGCCATCCAGTCTGTTAAAACTTTTAGGGTTAGAAGTGACTGCTATTTGGCTGTAATCTAGCGTACTAGGTTGGATTAAAGTGGAGCCTTACATTAATTGCTAACCACCCAATTTCCGCAATAACCTTGATTGAAAATTTTCTATTTGAAAGTCAGGCTATCAGTACTTGATCTACGTTTTGGTTTTTCTTTGAGCCGACAGTTTTGTTCGATAAAATGCCTTCTTCTTTCCCTGTTGAGCTTCCCACTCTGGATGTTATTGTGAAACCTATTCACGCAGTCAGTGTGCGTGTAGGTTGATTTTCTGATTTCATTCATTTGAGCTGTAAGACAATCAAAGGCCAATCATACTGATATAATGACGTCGAAATTATCAGCTATTTATCTAATTCAAAAACCCAATCTGGTATTTGGTTAATAAGACATAATGGGTCAGTAGTGACAATGACCCATAAATAGTGGTTACAATGAAGTTAGTGAACGGTGGTGGACACATCAGTGTTCCTAGCCTCAGCTAATCACAAAAATGAAGATCCACTGTGATGAGGAGTCTGTCATCACAATGACTTAGGTGCACAGTACATTTTATACTTCCGACTCCCAAAGTGATATTGTTACCAGGTAAAACATCTTCAGATAAGTGATGTTATCGAATATGAAGGATGATCCATCGAAATATCATTGTTGAAGAGAAAATTTCTACTTAACACAAACTAAATATCAGTGTTCGCATAAGTCTGTTCTGCTTCAGGAATCAAAAAAACATTGAAAAATGATCGGCTTTCCAATAAAATTGTTAAACTATCACATAGCATTACATATTACGTTCATATATTGTCTACTTCAGAAGTTAACCAAATTTATCAGATTTGTCACTATATTTGAATTTTAGGCGTAAATTTCATTTGAAAGGTTTCTGATTTATTTCTTTTTGCTAAACAATGATTCTTGGCATAGCAACTCAGTAGATTTGAAACTGATTTTCGACAACTGTTTCTTTGAGAATCAATTCTTTTCAAAATTTTAGCAATGGCTGATACACTTTTACTCCTGTTAGTGCCAAAAGCCCTCCCAAATTCACTGTTGAAACATTATGAACATGATAGTAATGTAACTTAATGTTCAACTACTAATGAATACAAATAAATAATAGTTCAGTTATTTGATAAGGAATACTTGGGAGTAGACAATAACGGGTATACGTTGGATACAACCAATTAAGCCTTTTTTGCTGCCTGAAGACGAGAATATAACCAAACTGATTAAGTAGACTGGTATATCGCCAAAGTGGAAACATAACTAATATAAATAACCTAATGTGACGTATATGACAAGAACAGTTTAAAATGAATCCCATTATCATATCATGGTTATGAGGAATAAACTGCTCTAGAAACTTCAAGCAACAAGTAATACTTACTAACTGTTAGCTCTGTCGAATAACCCAGTCCAATAAGGAAGTAAATGCAAATAAAGTGCACTAGTTCACTGCCTACATTGATATGAAATGACCTGATGACTGATTTTCATGACGAATCCTTTAAGTTATTTAAGATCAGAAATAAATAGTAATAATTGACTACTAAAATCCACCTTATTCAACATGTAAATGCGATCCCTACCAGTATAAAAAAAATTTTGCTAAATTTCAGGTATACGAAACTAAAGTTTAAATAACAGCAGACTGTTTAAGTAGATAAAATAGACAATATTTTATTCTGAAAATGCAATTTAAAGAGACGCCTGTTGATCAGTTGTAAATTTTGATAAGCCTGAAAACATCTGTTGAAAATTAAAAACAATGAAGCATCAATAATAAATGAATTAAAAATAGTGTAACATGAATTAGTTTAAAAAAGTAGCTTAACACAAAATAAGACTACATTCCATGTTACATTGAACAGTACCTTTTTTTTAACTGAAAATTACTAATATTCGAAGTACAAGTGAATTCACTCGCTTTATAAGTAGGTGATGCTAAATAACTTTTGCCATTTTTCTCCCTCACTTGGAGAAAGTCAAAACTCTAGCTTATATATCCACTCAGAGCCTTAATAAACTTAATTCCTGACCCATATAACTTTTCCTTTTGCTTAGCTGAATGTTTGAACTAATCTATCATTTTTTTTCTTTACTATAGTTTACTTGAGATCGTTATTGGAAATACTACCAGCCTTGGTTCCTATGCATCATTCACAACCCTCCTATTAAAGTAGCAACAAATTATTGCATATCACACTGAGTTTTTGAGCTAACCAAACGTCTGAATAATGACTACTTAAAATGTGAAACGAAATATTTAGTTACCACTTCTTTAAGTCACTTTTTGCAATTAGTTAGGTCAGATGAAAAGGGAGGCACAGGACAGTTATGTTATATCATATTTCAATGATAAACTGAGAGCACATTCTCTTCATTTTTACAAGCTCGGATGATACAATGATAACTTTCCACGTATGACAGTCGTTTAATTCGATGAATAATATTCTATGGGGTTGTAAAAAGTCTAAGGCGTGATCCAGTGAAGATAGGCTTTGTTATATCAGTGAATTTAAAAGAGTTGGGATCTTTCGGTTACAGAAACTATTAGATCAGGGGTGGAATCGGTTTCGTTAAAATATCCTGCTCCAATTTATTCCACACACTTGTTAAAAGCAATTAGTATTTAATTTCACCCACATTCATGGATACCCTTTTTCGAAGTAATTATGAAACAGTAAGTATGTTGCAACATAAGGCAGTTTCTTGATTCACTGAACTGAATGAAAATAGTTTTAATCGGATTAAAGTATTTTATGGATTAGCTGAGATTATGAGAAAATGACGATAAAATGGAAATTGAGTGCATATTTCATATTCACGTGCTTAAAGAAATTCTGAATTATATCAGTTGGAAATATAAGGGAAAAACTGTCTCAACCTTGTTAACAGTGTTCTTTTTGCATTATGTTCAAGTCTAGTGGATATTGGACAACAGACTGGATACACCATATGAAAAGATAATAGGAGTCAAATGTTGTTTACAACCCATAGCGAAGGTGAAATCCATTGTAACACACAGCTTTGGTGTACAAAATGTGATTTGATTACTTTTTGACAGAGTATTTTTCATGCCATATTCTTAATAGCCCATTTCAACCAAAACACTTTTCAAGCTATGTTATGAGTAAGTGGTTAAACTTTAATAGTTGAGAGCAACTATTGATTGTGAATAAAATATTCAGTTCACTAACTTGTGAAAATAAAACTTGACATCAAGTACTCCCAACCACAGTAAGTGACAGCGACGCTGTAATTCTAACGCTACTTTCAAGACAATAACTGCCACCCATCACGATCCGCAAGATTTTATGGCTGAAAGCAGTAAACTTATTATGTTTCTTTAACCACAGGAAATAAAATCATGTTATATACTTTTTAAAGACTATCGTTAACTGCTGTGGTATTGATGATTTAAAGGAAAGAATTAATTTCTACCATATTTATTGCTAGTACGATTAGTTACCTATATTTCTGTAGACTGCTGATACCGTTTCTTGGAAAAAATTTCTATTCAATAAAATTCGCTTTCTGATGGACATATTTTGGTTGTCTGTTGATTTTTTATGTTAATGACATCCAAAAATATTGATCTAGAGTGCTCAAATTTCAAATAGATCTAAAGGCTGCCCTAGCAACAACTGAAATAACTAGTTAAACGTTTCTGTTTTATGAAAATTTGCCTTTCCAAAGCAAATGAGGTAAACTAATTGGTTATTTCGATCGTTGTTAGGGTGGTCTTTGAAGTCGCTCCGAATTTCTGTGATATATTACTTTCACTTAATTAGTATAAGAAAACAATAAATTGGATACTTTAGACAAGCCACAACAATGGGATATCTCAACTGAAGTTATTTCACAGACTGTATAATTTAAAGTGATTGCATCTCAAAATATGCACTTCTGAATAACAGGATCACCTTAAAACAACTGAAACCAACATGTAGGTTACTGAAAAGACTCTATAATTAAATTAAAGTAAAAATACTTTTCTAGTCAACGGTACATCTAGATAAGTAAAAATCACAGAACTCTGATTTACCTAAATCTGACCAGCTGATTCAAAAAATGACCCTAAAGAACGACTTAGTATTTCACTATATTTTGTTATACTCGTAATTATCTGTTGTTTTATTGCATTAAATTTACAGACCTCTATAGGTACACAGGCTACTCTGAGTATGATATGACATTACCTGAATGCTTGTCATGCTAATTTAGTTGGTTGTGGCTATTACAAATAATGCAGATGAAGAGAAGAAGGAGGAACTCTACAGACAACTGCAATCAGTACTCGACAAGACCCCACCACAGATCACCACATCCCAATTCATTCTGATGGGTGGGGTGACATGAATGACAAACTGGGAGCGGACAAGACAGGAGGGGAACCAATCATTGGTAGAGAGGCACTTGGTGAAGTGATGAACGAGAATGGAGAACTGTTTGCAGACTCCTGTGCATTTGTTAATTTGGCGGTTGGAGACGGTGTGTACAGTCACAAGGATATTCACATGACAGCCACATGGATTTCACCAGACACCACAACACACTAAAAATCACATCGAATTCATGTGAATGTGAAGAGAGTGGAGATGCAGCCTATTGGACACAAGATGAGATGGAGAAGGGGAGGAGATGTCGGTGGTTCACACCACTCACAGTTCAGTGCAAGGAAACCAACTTCAAAATCGAGTTGGAAGTGTTCAAAGAAGTTGTTGATGGTGGGTCATAGTTGCAGTTCAACACCCAGAACATAAACTGAACTGAAGGAAGAAACTACTGAGGAAATATTCACATCCGTCAGACATCATGTAGAAATGTGAGATATTAGGCGACATGCATGCAGAAAACTTGGTGGAAGTACACTGAAACTCTGTGGAAGATATGTGGAAGGAAGCCTGCATAATGGTGTTAGGAGAGAGGAGTAAGCAGTAAGAAATGGAATGTATTTCGACGGACACACGGAAGGAAGCTGATAGAGGAGTGAGAGGAAGATGGAGAATCAGAAGATGAACCGGTGTTGTGCAGTACACTAGAGTGCAGTGCAGTGCAGTGCAGTGATGAACAGCGAAATGACGAACTGAATACAACATATAAAACACTGCACTGAATAAAATAGTGAAGAAGATTGTGCACACAGACAAAAGACACGCCTAAGACACACTGGCAAGTGAAGCACAACAGGGTGCAGGTAGGTGAGTTAGAGACCTGACAACATTGTATCAAATAACCAGGTTATCATCTGTGAGGACAGAGATGCACACAATGAAATCAATGAAGTTAGTGAATGAGACTTAGTTCCCGCCAAAGACGAGAAACAAAGGAAACTATGTGGTGATCACTTCAAGAAACTCTTGAGTCGATCACCACCAACAGCTACAACGACAACAACTGCAATTCGTCCAGAAATACAACCTGCAGCCCAGCCACAGAACTATCAGTGATCACAATCCCTCCAACAAAAGCAGAAATGTGGTCCTCAATGCCATATGTAGGTTACTGAAATCCTGGAAAGCAGGAGGTCCAGATGGAATTCCCTCAGAAGCACTGAAAACAGACGCAGAGACAACAGCAGTGGACATGTTCACAACACTACTGCAGATGGTTTCGAAGGAATGAAGTAAGGAAAGGTACCTGCCGACTGATTGCAAGAAGAGCATGTTGTTTAGAGGAGTCCAAATTTTCACTGGTTCCCTGGTTGACCGCGTTATTCGACGAAAACTATTTTGAAAGACTAATAATTTGATGTGTTGAGATACAAAACTTCTTCCATAGTGCTACACTCAAAATGACAACTAACTGTTATATGTATCTTGAACTGAAAACTGTTAGCAGTTTAAATATCGAATCAGAAATGCATTTGAATGACAATGTTCGAGAAATACAATGTTGATATTTTGGAAGAATAAATAACAAAATCAAGAATTGAAGAGACTCAGTCTTATTAAATTTATGAGATCTGAACGAAAAAAACTGATCTTGTATGATCTTTTTTCTATGTTTTTCTGTATGTGAGGATCTACTTTCTCCAATGTATTTCTACTCCGCATTTTTTCCTTTATTTCTTCTTTGTTTTT